ATATATACTCATGCAGCGCGAAGGCACGAAGATTCAAACCTACTTTATAGAGGCGTCTGAGAGACTGGAAGAGGTATTCATCATCGATCTTTACTAAAACTTGCAGTTGGTCACTAACGGGTTAAAAGCATAGTTCAGTACGACACACGACAGAATTAAACTCATAGCAACCTAAAGTAACAGTGTTGAAACAGCAGAAGCAACAAATTTGCTCGAGAGCGGCCCCAACAAAGCAACTGCTGCTGAGAAAACCACGAAATCAACGATCACATCTCCTACGCGTACAACCTATATAGTAAGCCTGATATTCTGCTTCCATCTAATATATAAATACAGCACTGAAACAGCGCTGACCGACACTCCGCAGAGGCAAACAAAAATACACTGGTGACGAAAGTTTACTTGGCAAGTTTCCGCATAGATCTAGCTTGGTACCTTGCATCGTGGTTGTCATTGTGTATCTATTTTACCCGAGATTTTCAAAGAAAGTTTTGATCTTTGGTGAAAAAAAATTTGAATCGATGTAGGAAAATATATGCTTAATAATTAGCTCAATACCAATTTTGTTTTTTATGAAGAAATCCATTTGAAGACTGCTTTGCTAAAGAAATTTCCTTTAACATTATCTATCAAACACAGCAACGTCAAAAGGAACTTTGTGAGGGACCGCCTTACACGAAAAGGATCCGCAGAGTTCGCAGTCCAGTAGACAGTACTTCTGCATGGAATTTTCAACCGTTAGCCCCAAGGCCCTTCACACGAAAACTACAGGCGACGCTCAAGCCGCAGGTGGGATTTGCGGTGATATTGAACGGTGTGAGAACTGATGACAAATTCTTAAAAATCAACCTGTGGATTCACGGCTCTGCACGCTTTGACGCGGAAAAATACAATTTTTTTGAAACTAACTTCTGTTGATCTACAACAAGTCACTGCACAACTGCCACTATTTATACATAAATACTTCTCTCGCAAACTCGATTACAGCCTTGAACAAACTCCTACCATTCAGGAGCTATAGCTTTGTAAGCCTGCATTCTCACATATGTATGTCTAGTTATTACGCCGTTTTATTAACGCAACCACCTTTCGTATATATATATATCGGCCATTCCATGCCAAATCGCACACCTTTGTACATCACCCTCTCAGACTTTTTTCATTTTTTGCTGATTAGTAGAGTCTAGCATAAAGAAAGCCGCAAAGAAATTCCGGAAAAGTGAATTCCCCGCCAAGTTACACCCCCCTCCAAAGATGCAAAATTTGCCGGGTTGCCGCCTGACATGCCTATCTGTGGAGGCTTGCAATTTGGTCCGTCCTTAACGTAATCAAACGTTTTTTGATGCTGCTTATTTCTAATGTTCTGAAC